ACAAAGTAATGAATTGCAAGTGATTTAAGGGAATCCTGTCTTGTATGCGTTTTTCATGTATCCAGATAAAAAATTTAAGGTATAGCAATTACTAAAGACGAGCTGAGAGTATCTTTCTTAGAAAATTATTGTTTTGCTCAAATATGTTTGATATGTCTCTATTTTCTAAAAGAGCAAAGTTCTGACTTTTTCTATTATATAGTAGCCCGGACAGAATTGTTCAAGGGTCACCTTTCTTTAGTAACTTTTTTAATTTTCAGTATTATCAATATCTGATTGCATATTTGAAATCTAGAGTATAATTCTGACACAAAAAAATATTTAATGAGAAACTTCTAATTTATTGACATTGCAGGCGTTTATAGTATAACTGACGCTTTGATTAAACACAAGAGAGTGCTATGCTACGATGTTCCTGCTTGCCTTTTAACTCACTCGGTCAGTTAGTCATGTTGGTACCAACCTTTACATTCTTCGATGGTTTGAACACCACTATAGCCAGAGCGGTCGACCTTTAAGCGCTACCTGCTGTACGCACTACTCTGCCCTTGTTGGTAAAGGGATGGTGAACAAACCCTCGGTGAATGTATTAGCAATTGTCAAATAAGTCATTGGTTAATGTTGTCTCCCCTGTGCCCATTTGTCATTTCTCCTCAGCCAGAGCCAGCGGGAGGCTTCATTTTCTGCAGATCCAACTGCTCTGTTCGCTCTCCTGAGCCATGAGGGTGGGAGTCCTACATTCTTGAACATTCGGTTGAGAGATGTTGATGGAAATCCTCTACAACCTACTTCAACGGGATAGTAATGAACTTTCCACCCTTTGGCCTCTATCTCCTCAACCAGATCTTGGTACTTTGCGCTTTTGAGTTGGTGTGCTACCTCAATGCGATCTTCCCAAGGTACTGTCAGTTCTATCATGACAGCAATTCTTTTACCCTCTGAGAATAAAAGCATATCTGGTCTTTGGTTTGTTGTCGTGATACAGCTGGGAAATGTGAGTCTTTGGAGCTCCCAGTCCTGTGCTTGTTGTAAGATGCCATATCTTCCTCGAGAGGTGTGCCTGCTACCGCTAGGCAAAACCTTCCCTTTAGGATTTGCGTTAGCACCCACCAAATGTTTCTCTAAGGGTTGCAGAGCTCAGAGCTCCACAGTGGATACATGATGCATCTTCATTAAAACCCCAGGTAGTGAGATGGTAAAAGATCAGATATTGCTCTTAATAAGAAGCTAATCTTGCCCTGCTCCATATCCCATATGTCTTTCCATGAGAGCTGTCGATCGAGTGTAGACTCCCAGTGGGTCCATGCACCTTGTTTGACTAATTGTGCTAACTTCACCTGTCTACCCTTTTCCTCTGATTGCCTTATCTCCTTTACTACAAGCTTCCTTCTTGTCTCTGTGTTGGCATCTTTCCACCTGGATGTGCCATAGTTTCCAAGGCCCATCCTACCTTTACAAACGACACCTACTATGTCTTTATGACGGAGTTGGCTTTCAGCAATACCGATTGCCTGTTGAGGATTCCATCCCCTCCCATTCGATATTGTTTCTCCCGAGCTAGTAACTTTATTGTCCTTTGAAGAGCGTAGAGTGGTTACTGCTCTTACTTTGGCTGCTTTGTACTCTTCAAGTACTGAAGTTACCGGGAGGCTGAGCTTGGGAGATTTACTGAATAGAATACTGACGCAAATACATAATTCATCATCTTACTTCATATTTGTTCAAAACGGCGTAATATTTCGTTAAATTGGAATGTTCAGTTGAACGTTAATTTTTAAAGATTGGCATAAGCCTATAGGGTCATGCTGCCACCATTACAATCCTGATAGAATACAGCAACTGACCAATCATAAAAAACAAGAAGTCAAACTCACCCAAGGTTCATGAACTCAACTCTATTGAAATGTTTGGGTTGCGTTCAAGAGGATATGAAAAGGTGGCGCCCCAATGTGCGGGGTGTGATGAGAATAGGTCCAGTCTTTTCAAAAGGTCCAAACAGCCTTCTCAGAGGCCATTGAAACGCTGAAGAACAATTCACATGCATGCCATGGATGGGTTAAAAGGCTTGTGACTGGGAAAGACATTAAACTGTGGCAAATATGACCCTATAGATGCAATGGTTAAACGAACTAGGGCTGCTAATCAAATATGGGTAACAATGGAATGGCCAAAAAACTTTATGTCCTGCGACCTTACCAATAAACTGTACAAACAATGTGCAATACTTTTTTTAAGTACCGGTATACATACAAGTCAATGTAAAACAAAAGGTTTAAATGCAGTCATTCCTCATTACCTCATACCAAAGCAGCAGTCTACACGAATCCATAGGCCCATGACGTTTTTTTAAATATTAACGTTTAACTGAACATTCAAATTCATAAAACAAGCCACCATTTTGAACAAATATGAGACAAATGGTGAATTATGTATTTGCGTCTCTCATACTATGAACGTCTATAATGTCAGTAAGAGATGTTCCTTAAATATCCTTTGTATGTCAGAATTTTATTCTAGTTTAAAAAATGTAATCAGATTTTGATAATACTGAAAATTAAAAAAGTTATTAAAGAAAAGGTGATCGTTGAACAATTCTGTCCGGGTTACTATGATTATGCAAGGAACTTTCTGCACGTAGGGAGTTCTCGAGATTATTGTTGTTCTTTCGCGTAATATTTTATAACTGAATGTTTACATGTACGATTGCAGGGAGGTATTAAAGCCGTTATTTGGACAGACGTCTTCCAATTCTTGATTATAATGATAGGAATGATTATCGCATTAGCAATGGTAAATCACGTACTAGGCGTTTGCCTATCATTTTTTATATTAATTGCAATTACACTTTTCGAAATATGATGGTACATTTCAGATAATTTGAATTTCATGAAGCCGAAATCTTCATTTTGTCTTTTACATATTGATCATTAATCTGTCTATCAAGTTTGAAATGAGGGAGTCTTGGGTTGTCGTTTTTTGACTACCATGAAGTAGTATCAAAACAGCAATAATTGTTGACTCATTTTCATAAGTTTTGGTAAATTAATTGTAAGTTATTGTTGTTTCAAGGGTTGCAGTCGAGTTGGAGGCTTCGCAAATATGTGGGACCTGTGTCAGAGAGGTGGAAGAATCCAGCCAATAGAGTGATTGATTATAATTTATATAATGGACGCTGGTTGACAGACATTTTAATAAATTTGAACTTATGATATACCAAATTAAAGATGAATAAATTCCCTATCCATTGGTATATAATATGACATATTATGATGTTTCCATCAAGAAAATCATAATTTATTTATGAAATACGAGTGTCCCATTTTTGGACCACCCTGCATGTATATACTGTATGGATGTTTGAGTTTGTGTTCCAGCTTTGACTTGAACCCATTGACGAGACATACCTTCTGGGGCCTCACTATTGGTGTTGGGGTAATCTATACACATCCGTATGGAGTAAGCCAACCTGGAGTGCAGCGTTTTTCAGCAACACGATCACTCAAAGATGCCAGACTGTAAGCAGAATTTCTGAAAAATAATTTATGTACATTAATATATATTACCTCGAGCATCCACAAAATTGCTAAGGCTAAACATAACACAATATCATACATTGTCATTTATTTCATTCGGGCATCCATAATATAGTTAAGGCTAAACCTAATACAATCTCGTTACATTGTCAATTATTCCATTGGGACATCCATAATATAACTTATGCTAAACCTAATACAATCTCGTTACATTGTCAATTATTCCATTCGGGCATACATACCATGGCTTATGTTTTACCTAAAACAATCTCGTTACATTGTCAATTATTCCATCGGGCATCCATAATATAACTTATGCTAAACCTAATACAATCTCGTTACATTGTCAATTATTCCATCGGGCATACATACCATGGCTTATGTTTTACTAATACAATCTCGTTACATTGTCAATTATTCCATCGGGCATCCATAATATAGCTTATGTTTTACCTAATACAATCTAGTTACATTGTAAATTATTCTATTCGGGCATTCACAATATAGTTTATGTTTGACCTAATGCAATCTCGTAACATTGTCAGTTATTCCATTCGGACATTAATAATATACCTGTTGCTTAATCTTAGACAGTCTCGTTACTTTGTCAATTTTTCCATTCGGACATCCATAATATAACTTATGCTAAACCTAATACAATCTCATGCATTATCAATTATTCCATTCGGCCATTCATAAAATAGTTACCCTGAACCTAATACAATCTCGTTTCATTGTCAATTATTCCATTTGGACATCCATATATAGTTAAGGCTAAACCTAATACGATCTCGTTTCATTGTCCATTATTCCATTTAGGCATCCATAATATAACTTATGCTAAACCTAATACAATCTCATGCATTGTCAATTATTCCATTCGGGCATACATACCATGGTTTATGTTTTACCTAATACAATCTCGTTACATTGTCAATTATTCCATCGGGCATCCATAATATAGCTTATGTTTTACCTAATACAATCTCGTTACATTGTCAATTATTCAATCGGGCATTCATAATGTAGCTCATGCTTAACCTAATACAATCTCGTTACATTGTACATTGTTCCATTCGGGCATAACTTAATACAATATTCTCGTTACATTGTCAATTTTTCCATTCGGACATCCATAATATAACTTATGCTTAAGCTTATACAATCTCGTTACATTGTCAATAATTCAATTTGGGCGTCCATAATATAGCTTATGTTTTACTAATACAATCTCGTTACATTGTCAATTATTCCATCGGGCATCCATAAAATAGCTTATGCTCAACCTAATACAATCTCGTTACATTGTACATTGTTCCATTCGGGCATCCATAATGTGCCTTATGCTTAACTCAATACAATCTCGTTACCTTGTCCATTGTTCCATTCGGCATCCATAATATAGCTTATGCTTAACCTAATACAATATATCAATGCAACCGACCGATCATTTGTTCTTACAGGACCATGCTAACAGTTATTCCCGCCGTTTGTGTGATTTATGCGCTGACAGCTCTTGTAGGGCTCACGGTGTATGCCTATTACTCTCACATTCAATGTGACCCTATGGTTATTGGAGCTGTTACTAATATTAATCAGGTAGATTTACTGCAAGGACTCGATGCGCTGAAATTTGGGGATTCATATCATTAAACTTTGTCATTAAAGCATGCATATTATGAAATATAGTTTCAATTTTTAGATATTCCCCTACTTTGTAATGGACGTACTTGCGGTTCCAGGCATACCAGGGATATTTCTTGCAGCTATGTTTAGCGCCGCATTGAGGTGATTTTTAATATTTTAAAATCATTAGTAAAGATCTTGAACTTTCGTGTCTGTGGAGTAAAGATAGGATTGACAATGTTGTAATTCTGGATGCTCTGTTCTTATTTCAATTCCTGGTCTTACGCTTTTGAAGAGATTTTATCGACATATTTTTCGAGGTTCGTCATAATCATGTTTCTTCTGAAAATAAACCTGAAATATATTTATCAGGATATATTAACAATACGCCGTACGTTTTATAAAGACAAAAATTAATTCAGTGTTAAACTGCTATAAAGCAGACGCGTTGGCGCCACTGGGGGTCATCTAGCAACGAAGGCACGATGTCTTCGTTTTAGAATATTTTCCAAGCAATGATTTGGATCATTCTATATTCTTTGGCCTTCATCCGAGGTGATTCTCAAGAATTCAACAAGAAATTTACGACCAGTACTTTGGACACATCCAGGGGACACATCGTGTTCGTGTCTAAAAACGTTCAAGTGCAATGTTTTGGGAACGAGTCTAGAATAAGATAAAAGCCCGTTTTGACTGCTTTTATTACCCGAACTGTATTTCAGTACGATATCATCACTTGTTAATTCCCTTGCTGCAAATATCTGGGAAGACGTTCTTAGAGATCGCTTTCCTAACGCAAGCCTTGCTAGGGCGACGCATATTACAAAGGGATTGGGTACGTTATATATTTCTGAATCTCGCTTATTATGGAGTCATCACATTTAAGCCATGTGGGCTTACTGTTCGCTACCGTGTGGATACTTTGGTTGGGATAAGGCATTTATACACAGTGGGCAAAACAAATAGTTTTACAGCAATCTCCCATCACACCAAATAATTATTCAATTAGTCAAGTAAAAAATTAATGCCCAAAATTAGCCAGCAGGCCACATTGTGGCGAACGGTGAGCCCGCACATCGAATGTGACAGCTACTTTAATTAAAATATAACAGTGCAGTTAAGCTGTGTTTTATGGCTCATCCCAGGGTGAAGATATGCAGATTAAAATGATTACAATTTTGCGTTATTTTAGTGATTGTATTTGGGATTTTGTCGACCGTGATGGCGTTTGTTGCTATGAAGATTCCTGGTCAAATCTTGCAGGTACACATCCAGAAAATTTGTTTTGAGTTTCACCGTTACGTAACAATAGAAAATGCTTGTCGAATAGTTATACTATAAGGTAGATTTGCATATCTTTTAAGAAGCTAAGATCTTCAAAAGTTTTTCTCTAACATATTCCACAAATTAGTTACTGTTCATTTTTGAACAGGCTGGATTGTCACGCTTTCAAACCTAAGTAAAAAGTAACAAAATACTAAATTATATGGTCTGGTGTTTAGATATATAATTCAGTATCCTTACGTTGTAGTAAAATAGTAAGTGAAAATTATACAGTTTGGACTCTTCCACTCACAGGTCACCGTGGCATTGGGCGGAGCAGTTGGAGGGTCGGTTGTTGGGATGTATTGTCTTGGAGCCTTTACGACCAGCTGCAACTGGAAGGTAAACCAGGATGAAACATTAACAATCAAAAACAGAATAATGACAGAATAGCAAGTAAAATTTCCAAAAAGACGATACTTATATTTTATTATTTTAAACGAATTTTTTCTCTTAATAACCTGAATACTTAACATAACTAATAAATAAACGCTTATTGAATACGTCTGGGGTACAATATCACTGGTCCCCATCTGGTTATAAAGACGCTACTGCTTTATAACAAAATCGATGAACTTCCGTCGAAGGAAAGTTTTCCTTTCATCATTTTCACCAACAATGCAAAGAGGTTGATTTGTACCTGGTGAATTTCGTAACGTCTTGGTTGAGTTGTGTAAACGTCCTGGTTGTTGACGTGAGGATTTCTTATTCGATTATTGGAGCTCGTGACTGACCAGCTAATAGCTTTCAGTAACCTGATGCTAATATTAACATATGGGTAAAACATTTGGATACAAATCCACCTTTTGTTGGTGAAAATGATGAAAATAAAAATTCCGAATAGTATTTAGTTTTCTTTCATTTATATATTTACGGACTTTCTGCAAGTTTGTTATTTGATCGACCATATAAAAGTGGGAGACTATATTTATTCTGTTCATTTATTTTTTCAGGGAGTAACAGCTGGAGGATGGGTCGGTTTTGCTTTCTTATTGTGGATCGCTTTGGGGGCATTCACGATCAAATCCACGAAACACATCCTTCCCCCGGCGTCAACTAACGGATGCTATGTTAAAAACGTCAGCGAACTCTTTAATGAAACAAGTACAACGCCATATTCAACCAATGAATATCAGATTGGCTTCTCCAATTCAAGCACTGTTTCGCCTGTACCAGCGGTCGAGGAGTAAGACGCCACTTATATATATATTATCCACGACTTATAATTACTAAATGGCTTTGGCCCAATTTGCTTGAATTAATTCTTATTCTCCCAAAGTATAATCTTTATGTATGTAAAACGTATTCATTACATTCTTAGCCCTAATGTATGCAATTATCAATTTGAACGTGAATCGTAAAAATGTCGTTTCTAGAAAAGGATTACCTTTTGATTTATCTTTCATGCATGTACAATATTACATTTTCAAGGGGACACTTAGACAAGTTTTACTCAATTTCTTACACCTGGTATGGCTTGATAGGAATCATTGTGACGTTTACAGTAGGAATGCTCGTAAGCTTGGTGACAGGTATTACCAGTATTTCATTAAACAGATAACAAAACTAGGCAACGGGTAATCAGTGTTTCAAACAGTCAAGGCAAAACGGTAATACTAATGTTGGTATTATAAATAGTACCGTGGGTACTTGGCTCACATGGTGTTGCTCAAAAGTGAATGATGGCTAAAATGGCTAAAAACGGATATGATTACTACTCTTTACAGTGACATGGCTTTTTGCAATGCAGGACACCTTAAATTATTTTTAAGCTAGGAAAAGGGCCAACAGTGAATTTCGCGAGACAAAAATGGTGACCATTTTGAAAATAGGCAAGCTTTTGAACCAGGAGTCACAGGGGATTTTTCTGTACTGATGTTGAACAAAAATAACTTAAAACAGGACACCTATCGACAGAAGTTTTAAGGCAAATGGCCCAAAAGCGGATTTCGCGAGACAGATGGACAAATCAATGTTAACTAAAATGGCTGTAAATGAAAAAAAACGGATAAAATTTTTTGCCGATTTTTAGTAACAAAAATATTTCATACATGACATGGCTTTGTACAAAGTAGGACATCTGAAATTATTAGTAAAGCGAGAGAATGGGCTAAAAGTGAATTTCGCAAGACAAAAATGGCGACCATTTTGAAATTAGACAGCTTTTAAACCAGGAGTCATAGGGGGGGGGGGGGGGTCTAAATTGATTTTGAACAAAAATAACTCAAAACGGGAATCCTATTGACAGAGGTTTTAAAACGGGCCAATTGTTGACAGACGGACGCGGACGGACAGACAGACAGACAGACGCACAAGTGAGTGATTGCAATAGCTCACCACGTGAGCTAAAAATCACATGTATCTAGGATGAAGAATTAGAAAAGATTCATCCTCGGTAGTATCAGTGTTTCTTTTAAGTTTATTTTTTCTGTTTATTCGCCATGCTTTCTGATTTACAAATAAACTTTTGTCAAATCACTTTTCTAAACATGATATTATTCTACTTTATCTTTGTCAATAGATATTCGATGTCGTCAGTTTCCTGTCTCTCCTTTCATGGCTTGTCATATGCATATGTTTGTAGGTTTTAGTGATAAAGACGATGTTGATGAGGAGACATATATTAAATGGCCAGATTTGCTGTTCTGCTGTCTCCCTGAGTCGTACAGGGTGGGGTTATGGAGAAAAATTACAGTAAGCAGTACATACACTCTATCAATTAAAATGAATTCTTGCTTGTAGTCCATGATCTGATTTTTCTAAGAGCTCTATTTAAGGAGTTTGTTTTCCGGGTGTCCGCCACAAAAACCAACTACTGCATAATATTCCTATATATATTCTCTACACTGAGTTATGTTCCATTTTTCGTGTAAGTGTGGCATGGGAATATCATCATATTCCTAAGTCATCAAATATATTTATTTGGGTAACGTTTTTGACACCCTGTACCTTTTATACATGTCACATTACCTTCTTTGAAGCATTTGACAAGTGTTTTATTACTAAATGTATTCACACCAAAACACTGCGCCACGCAGATTTTTTACCATTGCAGACAGCATCCTGTGAGAACCATCTTTTTGACATTTTCGAAATCCTATATTATCTTGTTAATCAAAAGTATTTACTTTTTATCAAAGTTATATCATACTTGAACTGCAGTTATGTGGTAAAAAGTCAAAAATACATTGTAAAAAGGGAATCTTGTGCGACCCCATTTTATAGGCAAAAGCCCCTGTTACAATCAAAACTAAATATGTTTTCTTAATAGGGAAGTCAAACTTTGAAACGGTATGTTCATTTTTTGTGGCGAAATTCCGGACAACGACTCTTAATTTTTCTTGGGGCAGGTTTGAGACTATTGGTACCTTAAGATAAAAGCTATATTGGCCTTTCCATATTTTAGTGGACTTTCCTATTAATAAAAGTGATTAATGCCCATTTTCTCAATAAATATGCAATATTAATAGGGTGGTTCAAAGAGACCACAAAGACAGGATTTTATATTAACCAACCATCATGGTAAAGTGTCAACCGTGTATTATCTAATTATAGTAGGCACTTTCCAAATTCGTCTCGCCTTCGTGTCACTTAAAATGTTCATGCTGCTTGTTAGGGCTCACGAAATCTTGATAACAAGGATGGAGATGCTAGGGAGAATGCAGAGCCTGTTGAAATGGAGAGTCTGATGGTAAAAAATGGAATGAAGACTTAGAACCAAAAGGAACTGAGCGAGCCTAAAGGACATGGGGCACAAACATTTTGATACAATTTTTAAAGGAGACTCTGAAGTGTCATTTAGGGCTTACAATAGATGGCGAATAACATGGGACACATACATTATGATATAATTTTGAAAGGAGACTCTATTTAGAGTGTCATTAAGGACTTACAATAGATGGCGAAGGACATGGGACACAAGCATTATGATATAATTTTGAAAGGAGACTCTATTTAGAGTGTCATTTAGGAGCAGTGGGGGGGGGGCATTGTTGGAATGCATTGTCACGAAAATTTACAAGCAGCTGCAACTGGGAGGTAAACTAATCAAGATGAAATGTAGGGCGGTTAAGCGAGCGTGTAATTAATATTTTGACCCCGGAGTTAACTGTTTATCTCTCAATTCAATTCATCATCTAAGTCCCAGGGACCTATTTACAATTATTTTCCGTATACCTTTATACTCAATCAGCCAAGTAAACACTACAAATGGGAGAACTAATCCATAGAAGACCATAATTCTACACGTTCACGTACAGGTTTTTCTCTGGGACTTATTACAATTATTTCCCGTATACCTTTATACTCAATCGGCCAAGTAAACACTATAAATGGGAGAACTTATCCATAGAAGACCATAATTCTACACGTTCACGTACAGGTTTTTCTCTGGGACTTATTACAATTATTTTCCGTATACCTTTATACTCAATCAGCCAAGTAAACACTACAAATGGGAGAACTAATCCATAGAAGACCATAATTCTACACGTTCACGTACTAGTTTTTCTCTGGGACTTATTACAATTATTTTCCGTATACCTTTATACTCAATCAGCCAAGTAAACACTACAAATGGGAGAACTAATCCATAGAAGACCATAATTCTACACGTTCACGTACAAGTTTTTCTCTGGGACTTATTACAATTATTTTCCGTATACCTTTATACTCAATCAGCCAAGTAAACACTACAAATGGGAGAACTAATCCATAGAAGACCATAATTCTACACGTTCACGTACAGGTTTTTCTCTGGGACTTATTACAATTATTTTCTGTATACCTTTATACTCAATCAGCCAAGTAAACACTACAAATGGGAGAACTAATCCATAGAAGACCATAATTCTACACGTTCACGTACAAGTTTTTCTGACTTATTACAATTATTTTCCGTATACCTTTATACTCAATCGGCCAAGTAAACACTACAAATGGGAGAACTAATCCATAGAAGACCATAATTCTACACGTTCACGTACAGGTTTTTCTCTTGGACTTATTACAATTATTTTCCGTATACCTTTATACTCAATCAGCCAAGTAAAGACTACAAATGGGAGAACTAATCCATAGAAGACCATAATTCTACACGTTCATGTACAGGTTTTTCTCTGGGACTTATTACAATTATTTTCCGTATACCTTTATACTCAATCAGCCAAGTAAACACTACAAATGGGAGAAATAATCCATAGAAGACCATAATTCTACACGTTCATGTACAGGTTTTTCTCTGGGACTTATTACAATTATTTTCCGTATACCTTTATACTCAATCAGCCAAGTAAACACTACAAATGGGAGAACTAATCCATAGACGACCATAATTCTACACGTTCACGTACAGGTTTTTCTCTGGGATTTATTACAATTATTTTCCGTATACCTTTATACTCAATCAGCCAAGTAAACACTACAAATGGGAGAACTAATCCATAGAAGACCATAATTCTACACGTTCACGTACAGGTTTTTCTCTGGGACTTATTACAATTATTTTCCGTATACCTTTATACTCAATCGGCCAAGTAAACACTACGTATGCGAGAACTAATCCATAGAGGACCATAATTCTACACGTTCACGTACAGGTTTTTCTCTGGGACTTATTACAATTATTTTCCGTATACCTTTATACTCAACCAGCCAAGTAAACACTACAAATGGGAGAACTAATCCATAGAAGACCATAATTCTACACGTTCATGTACAGGTTTTTCTCTGGGATTTATTACAATTATTTTCCGTATACCTTTATACTCAATCAGCCAAGTAAACACTACAAATGGGAGAACTAATCCATAGACGACCATAATTCTACACGTTCACGTACAGGTTTTCCTCTGGGATTTATTACAATTATATTCCGTATACCTTTATACTCAATCAGTCAAGTAAACACTACAAATGGGAGAACTAATCCATAGAAGACCATAATTCTACACGTTCATGTACAGGTTTTTCTCTGGGACTTATTACAATTATTTTCCGTATACCTTTATACTCAATCAGCCAAGTAAACACTACAAATGGGAGAACTAATCAATAAAAGACCATAATTCTACACGTT